GCCGCGCCATAAAAAAGGTTGGGGATACCGGGCCGCGGCATAAGAAAGGTTGGGGATCACTGCTATAGGGGACACGGTAGCTCAGTGGCTAAGATGCTGAGCTTGTCAATCAGAAAGGCTGGCGGTTCGAATCCCTAGCGCCGCCTAATAAGAGTGAGCTCCCGTTACTCGTCCCAGCTTATGCCAACCTAGCAGTTCGAAAGCACGTTAAAAATGCAAGTAGAAAAATAGGGACCCCTTTGGTGGGAAGGTAACAGCGTTCTGTGCGCCTTCGGCATTTAGTCATGCCGGCCACATGACCACGGAGACGTCTTCGGACAGCGCTGGCTCTTCGGCTTGGTAACGGAGATGAGCAATGGCGCCCGCTAGAGCCGGAAATGAGTAGCATGTATGTGCGAGGGGAACCTTTACCTTTAAAGATGCTGTCTTTTCCCAAATATATTGATTGTATTTACAGGTAGTCCTTGGCTTATGACCACAATCGAGCCCAAAATTTCTATTGCTAAGTGAGACAGTTGCTAAATGAGTTTTGTCCCATTTCACGACCTTTCTTGCCACCGCTGTTAAGTGGATCACTGCAGTTGTTAAGTTAGTAACCCGGTTGTTCAGTGGATCTGCTTTCCCATTGACTTTGCTTGTCAGAAGGTAGCAAAAAGGGATCACATGGTTACCCCAGGACACTGCACTTGTCATAAATATGGATCAGTTGCCAAGCATCCAAATTTTGATCACATGACCGTGTGAAAAACAGTCACAAGTCACTTTTTCCTGTGCCGTTGTAACTTCAGTCACTACACGAACTGTTGAAGGCGAGGACTTGGCTGTATTCTTCCTTGATTTTTCTTTCCTGTATTTTTAAATTTTTGCTACTTTTTTAAAATCCCAACGTATAAACTCCTGAAATTACTGTTCCATTTGACACATCAATCACACTGACAATGAAGCAAAAATATCGAGTCCTTTTACACGTTTCCCCAATTTGTGAGGAAAAGAACCAGCGAATGCCATTTCTTCTCAAAGTAGCCTGCAACGATGACCTTTATTAAATATATTCTTAGGATTTTTAAACTATAAGACAGATAACAGATAGTCAGAGTTGGAAGGGACCTCATAGGTCATCTAGTCCAACCCGCTGCCCAAGCGGGAGACCCTACACCATTTCTGACAGATGGGAGTCCAACCTCTTCTTGAAAGTCTCAAGTGATGGCGCTCCCATAACTTCCGAGGGCAACTTCTGTTCCATTGGTTGATCGTTCTCACTGTCAGAAAGTTTCTCCTTATTTCCAGGTTGAATCTCTCCCTGTTCAGCTTCCATCCATTATTCCTTGTCTGGCCTTTGGGTGTTTTAGAAAATAGCTTCAATCCTTCCTCTCTGTGGCAGCCCCTCAAATATTGGAAGACTGCTATCCTGTCTCCCCTGGTCCTTCTCTTCACTAGACTTGCCAGGCCCAGTTCCTGTAACTGTTCTTCATATGTTTTAGTCTCCAGTCCCCTAATCATCCTGGTTGCTCTTCTCTGTACTTTTTCTAGAATCTCAACATCCTTTTTATAGTGTGGTGACCAAAACTGGATGCAGTACTCTAGGTGTGGTCTTACCAAGGCTTTATAGAGTGGTATTAGTACTTCCCTTGATCTTCTCAATAATCTTCTCTCTAGAAGTTTTCCAGTGTATCAAAGGCTGTCCCTTTGAATTTTGAGCAGAGTTTGTGGGTACAAATGGTGTAGCTTTTGCCAGTTGTGTAACTGGTTTGTTGAACAGGTCTAATGCACTGGTTCCAAACAACCTGGCAAAATTAATCTTCCAAAGCACAGTGGCTGAGATCTTTTACCCTAAGCCACATTTTCAGTTATTACTATGTATACCTCTAGGCCAGTGGTTCCCAACCTTTTTTTTCGCCCCACACCCCTAAAGAAATTTCACTCGAACCTCGCACCCCCTGAAATTTAGACTTTAGGAACTACTGAACGCGTTAAATATATGGTAGGATTGAATCTTTTCAGCTATGTATGTGACGGCCACTAAATAACGATACTTAACTCTAAAATGAAAACGAAGTTAATCCATTGCATAATAAATAAAAATGACAACATATAGCCAATATCCTATTATTTACCTGGACTTTTCTCGCACCCCCTGGAATATTGTCTCGCACCCCCAGGGGGTGTGAGCACCCCAGGTTGGGAACCCCTGCTCTAGGCCAAGGACAATATTTTTATTTATGTATTTATTTATATTTACTTATTACATTTATATGCAGGGATGGTGAGTGTGCTGCAGATCACAAGAAACCTTTCTTTAAAAAAAAAACTGCTAATGCCAGGGTTGATCTCTGTTACTGAATCTAACTAACTGATCTCGGAAGAACCACAAGAGAATACGCGTTTTTGGTAGAAAAATCAGAATACATTTTACACATCAAGCCTCTTTTTCTCCCCCCCCTCATTTTGAGATTATATTTCCCTGCTTCAGGGGTGTTTAAAGGAAAAAAACGTGGATTTCCTACCGGCCGTTGCAGAGACAGAGGCCCCGAATGCCACAAAGGGACCCATCTACAGTGAAACAGACCCCGATGGCGAGGCCAATTTGCTAGGTGAGAATTCATGGAACGTTTGCATTTTCTTCTACATTTTCCTTCTGTGGGGTTTGTTTTGTTTTGCTTGGCTTCACACTGTAGTGGGGTGGGGTGGGGGGCAAGGTTCCTTCAACCTCATCAGCCTTGCAGGAGAGGGAAGAGATCATTTGGGAAACGTAGCTTGAGGGTCAAGGATCAGGAAAGAAGCTACCCACAACTGAATGTTAGAAGAAACATGTAGCTACTCTTGCGTCTGTGTAAAACTTTGGTTTTGGTATATCTTAACTACAGCCATCTTTGCATCTCTGTGAAGGAGATGGGTGGTTTCTAAATTTGATAAATACAGGTAGTCCTCAACTTACGACAGTTCCTTTAGCGACCATTAGAAGTTACAACGGCCCTGAAAAAAAAGTGACTTATGACAGCAGGAGCTGCCTTGGTTGCCGGTTTGCTTCCGGGTGCAATTCAAGGTGCTGGTTGTCACCTTTAAAGCCCTTCATGGCTTGGGACCGGGTTATCTGAGGGAACGTCTCTTGCCTGTCACATCGACCCGACCCATTAGAGCAGGGAGGCAGGGAATGTTGTGGGTCCCATCCCCGAAGGAGATACTCCTGGTGGGACCCAGAAGAAGGGCCTTCTCCGTGGTGGCTCCCTCTCTCTGGAACATCATTTCACCCCAGAGATTAAAATGGCTGCCACTCTAGCACTCTTTTGGCTTTGCTGGTGAGAAGGTCGCAAAACGGGATCGCATGTCTCTGGGACACCGCAACCGTCATAAAAGTGAGTCGGTTGTCAGGCATCCAAATATGAACCACAGGCCTGTTGGGGAAGCTGCAACGGCCATAAGCGTGACAATTTATTTAATTTATTTAATTTATATTGCCGCCTATTCGCCCAAGGCGACTCGAGGCGACTTACACAAGGTAAAACCATATTTAAAACAAAAGATAAAAAAAAAAAAACAGTAAAAACTGAATCTGGGAAGCCAGATTCACTTAACGACCGTGTGACTAATTGAACAACTGCAGTGATTCTCTTAACAAAAGTGGCAAGAAGAGTCGTAAAATGGGGCAAAACTCACCTAACACATTCCTTAACGACATACATTTGGGGCTCCATTATGGTCGTAAGTTGAGGACTACCCGTCAATACAAACATCTAAGTATGCCTTTATGATCTGAATCTTTGTGATCATAGTCTTTCTCAACAGGGCCCAGCAAAGGCTTATTAACAAAACGTCTCCTTCAAAACAGGAGAGACGAAATTTCCTATTTTGAAATTCCCTACTGAACTCTTTTCTGTTCTTTGTAGGCAGCGGAGGAAAATATCCAAGTCTCTCTCCTTTGCCATTTCCTCCTGAAGGAGAAGAAGTGGGCCAGACTAGTGGGAAAGAGGTATGGGTCATGTTATGTTTAGGGTGTACGCGGATGATTAATCGGGCTACTGGTTAAAGAGAAGCAATAGGTAAGATCCAATCTGGATCCATCACCAGGACCAGAGGTTGATTCCTCTGAGCTTTCGGATTCCTCCTGGCGCCCATCCTCCGGGAACTTCTCCCCATTGGAATACATGCTTTGGGCTATTCTACGAGTTTCATTTATGTAGTGCCTTCCTATAGGTTGATTGGTGTGTTGCCGCCAGGCCCTATGCTCCTCTGATAGGCTGGTAGTAAATCAACACTCCTGTTGACTGACAAGGGGCCCATTTCCCAGGCTACAGTCATATTTCCCTGGCTGTTTTTATACTTGCCCCGCCAACAATCTTAGTAGCTGTGAAATTGAATGTGTGTCCTTGTTCATTGCCATGTGAGGCTACCAATGAGTTTGGGTGTCTCCTCGTCTGACCGCTCCCTTGTGTTCTTGCAATCCCCATCTATCCTACACAGTCGCAGGGGATCCGGTAGATTACTGTCAGGATTCCGGCAGTGACTCCAATTAAACCATGAGCCTCAAGCCACACTCCCAGAACTTCTTTTGTTTTATTAGAAGTTAACAGGCCGGCATTTGCCTTGGCGTAGATGACTCTGAGATACGTCATTCACTGTCACCCTTGATCCTGTTTCTCCCCCCCACCACTCTTCTGGCAGTGGTGGGATTCAAATTTTTTTACTACCGGTTCTGTGGGCGTGGCTTGGTGGGCGTGACAGGGGAAGGCGACTGTAAAATCTCCAGTCAGAGGTGGGATTTTCCGGTTCTCCAAACGACTCAAAATTTCTGCTCCCGGTTCTCCAGAACTGGTCAGAACCTGCTGAATGCCACCTCTGCCCTCTGGGTGTATCATCCAACGAAGCACGTCCATAGCCAAGAGTCATCGATCGTGCTCTCCAATTAGATTTTTGTGTAGCAGAAGCTTCAGTCATCTAATCAGTTTCTGAGGAAAATATGAATGGAATGTACTTTCGATTCCACACTGCCGCCTGCTCTCTTTGAAACCTCCCCCCCACTTCTTTCTGTTGACAACTATAAAACGTGTCTACAAAATGTTTTATGAGTTGATATTTACATTAGAAATGTCTCCCACCTCCAAGCGATCTTTGCAATGCACGATTTCTCCTCGTATGGTCGCCTCTGGGCAGTATGCGATGCCCCCATTGCAAAGAAATATGCTTGAAGGAAACCCGCCGTTTTGCTTTAGCCCCGTTTCTCCTGTAGAATCTGATAGGCGAAGCGTTGTTAGTTTTGCTTGGAGTTCAGTGGACCTCAAGGAAAGAGCAAACTATTCCCACCCCAATCTTACGGAAGGGGTATTGAGGTCTTTTTTTTTCCCCTTTGCAGGGATCCAAGGATCTCAAGGAACCCGGAGGGTCTTTGCAGATCGTGAAGCAGAGCGTGACCCAACCGGGCCAGCAGACGATGCTCTGGCATGTCCTGCAGGAGGACGATGACGCAAATACAGATATTTTGGGTGAGGAAGTCGCCTTCTCGGCTCCAGAAGCACGAATTTATCTCCAAGCTGCTTTTTTTTTTTTTTTTTTTTAGAATGGGAAAGAGTTAATAGAAATTTGGGGCTTGCTTTCTAGTGAGAACCTTAAAACAAGCAAGATCAAAACCAGAAACCCTGATGAGACCAAACTAATCTTTTCTAGTAACATTGAGAGGTGTCAGCTGCTCTTCGCACCCCAAAACAAATGCCCCACCCCGCACCCCCAGTCTGTTAAAACACAGATGGGAGAAAAAGAGGGCAGATGGCTCAAATCTTGCAGGTTGCTTGAAAGAGGGGCACTGCCTCCAGATTTTCAGAATGTTTCTAGAGGACATGGGAGTTTATTTATTTTCTTGATTTGATTTGATTTGTCAATCGCTTACCAGATAGTAGGTATAAGTATATACATAGTTATGAATACACGAAATGGGTACATATAAGAAAAATAAAAGAAAGAATAGGACAGGGACGGTAGGCACGTTGGTGCGCTTATGCACACACCCCCTACAGACCTCTTAGGAAAAGGGGTGAGGTCAATAGTAGACAGTCTAAGGTTAAAAGTTTTTGGGGTTTGGGGAAGAAGGAAATGGGGCTCCAACCTCCATATAGTAATGGATAAGGTTGGACATTTCCTCATGCACATGACAGGAAAGTTCAATTTTCTTGTAACAGAAAGAGTGGCAGAACTCTGGGGTCAAAGGAGGAATCAGCCTAAAGTCTGCATGTAGCCACAAGTGACTAGATCCAACCCTTCTTGAATTCCATTGACCCTATCCTAATCCCAAGATGGTGCTAATTATTACTTGAGTAGATCCCTGTATATCAAGTAACAATCGGCACCATCTTGGGGTTAGGATAGGGTCAACGGAATTCAAGAGGGGTTGGACTTAGTCACTTGTGACTACATATATGGCATGATTGGTAATAAATCAGTGTAAATCAGAATTATTGGCTCTTCACACCTGATAATTCTCTTTATTTTTGATGGCTCAGAGCTTCCCGAATTCTATAGAGAGATTATTGTGCACAGTCAATGGTGGTCTGGATCAGGTGGCTCCACTGTTTCCCCTGTCCAAGATGGCTACTCCTTCACCCACCATGTTTTCCCTCTCCGCTGTATCCCTAACTCCAGTTTTGAGGAACCCAGAGGTCTTTTCGGGGCGTGATCCGAAGGGTGTCTGGATATCCATCGTCCTCTCCCCCGCGCACAAGCCCATGGCTCCTTGTCATCTGGCAGAGCATTTGGTCTGGCCAAGAGCTGGTCCATGAAGGTTTGATGGAACCTCCTCATCATTTGTCAGATGCCTTCAGGTCTTTTGTTCTTGGATTAAGGAGCTGGGGGAGAGCTGTTGGCAGAGATGTTGGATAGTCATCGCAGGCCCAGAGATCATCCCGTTTTCTTCCCGGGGTGGATATCTCTGTCCTTGTTTGGAAAGGCCATGTTGTTCTTGGCGCAAAGGAGGCGATTGCAGGAGTGCCATATGTCTCTCAGATCGAGCTGTTTTTGCCTCAGTACATCAAGTAACCATTCCTGGTGCCAGGTTCCTCTTTCTCAAAGGGAGACATGGCAGGGATCTGCGAAGGCATCCAGAAGCTCTTTTCCTGCCTCAAAACCAAGGAGCATTCAGCCATTAGGTGGAGAAAATAAAAGAAATCCAGATTTCTTCATCCAGAGGTCTGTCTTCCTAATCTTCCACTAAATGTGGGTTAAGGAAGATCTCGGGAAGAGACAAGGAAATTTTCCTTTTTTTTTTTTCCCCCTCTGAGATATTCGAAAACATTTGGCCACCACAATGTAAAATAGATGTTGAGACTCTTGAAAGAGTGCAGAGAAGAGCAACAGAGATGATTAGGGGACTGGAGGCTAAAATATATGTGAAAGATGTTCGCTGGAATTGAGGATGTCTAGTTTAATGAAAAGAAGGACTAGGGGTGACATGACAGCAGTCTACCAATATCTCAGGGGCTGCCACAAAGAAAATCAGTAAAAATCAGGCATCAGACTGTATGACCGTAACTTTGTCCCTTGTATCCCTCTGATTTATATTGGCTCTTTCCTAGTATGATTTGATTGCTTATTGTACCCTAGGACTATGACTATTATTAAGTGTTGTACCTTATGATTCTTGACTCCTGAGACATGTATCTTTTCTTTTATGTACACTGAGTGCACTAATCAAGATTAATTCCTTGTGCGTCCAATCACATTTGGCCAATAAAAGAATTCTATTCCATTCCATTCCATTCCATTCTATTCTATTGTATTCTATTCTATTCTATTCTTATGATTCTTGATGAATGCATCTTTTCTTTTATGTACACTGAGAGTATTTGCACCAAGACAAATTCCTTGGGTGTCCAACCACACTCGGCCAATAAAGAATTCTATTCTATTCTATTCTATTCTATTCTATTCTAGTCTAGTCTATTCTATTCTAGTCTAGTCTAGTCTAGTCTAGTCTAGTCTATTCTATTCTATTCTAACTTTATGATTCTTGATGAATGTATCTTTTCTTTAATGTACACTGAGAGCATTTGCACCAAGACAAATTCCTTGTGTGTCCAATCACACTTGCCCAATAAAAAGAACTCCTATTCTATTCTATTCTATTCTATTCTATTCTATTCTATTCTATTCTATTCTATTCCTATTCTATTCTATTCTATTCTAACCTTATGATTCTTGACGAATGTATCTTTTCTTTTATGTACACTGAGAGTATTTGCACCAAGATGAATTCCTTGTGTGTCCAATCACACTTGGCCAATAAAAAGAACTGTATTCTATTCTATTCTATTCTATTCTATTCTGTTCTGTTCTGTTCTGTTCTGTTCTGTTCTATTCTATTCTATTCTATTCCATTCCATTCCATTCCATTCCATCCCATTCCATTCTTATGATTCTTGACGAATGTATCTTTTCTTTTATGCACACTGAGAACATTTGCACCAAGACAAATTCCTTGTGTGTCCAATCACACTTGGCCAATAAAAGAATTCTATTCTATTCTACTCCAACCCCCTGCCTAGGCAGGAAAGGTTTTTCCACAGACTGGAGGGGGCAGGATTTTCACGTGCTGCCTGCATTCCGCCGGATGGGGCTTTGCCTCTTTGCGCAGCCTGGTTTCTGGCATGCCACAGCCCGGTGCCAGTCCCAGGGACCAGGTGCTGGGGATCCCTGACCAAGAAGGGTTAATAGGTTTGTTGCTTCTTGTAAAAAATGATGAGCAAAGGATGAATAAAGTCCCTCCTTTGTTTCTTTAGGGGACGAAATGGGAGATTACATCAAGGTGGAGATTCCTCAGTGTGGAGAAGCTGAAGGAGAGGATAGCTCCAGGATGGGGTCCCAGATCAGCTACAACCAGGTGCCTGTCAAACATGAGAGGCTGGAAGGACGCTCTGAGTCACGAGAGCCCCAGGATGGATCGCCCCTCGGGGCGGGAAAGGGATGTTTTGAGCTGGGAGAAGTTCCTTGGAAAAGATACCAGAGAACTGCCGTTCTGAATTCCTCCCGTTTTCCTAGAGAGGCCTCTCATGAGATCCCGGTCGCCTTCCCAGGCCACCCACCTCCAGCCAAGAAGCCCCGGAGCGGTCCGGAGCACAGCGTGGTGTGGGACCACTTTGAGTTGGATTCCGAGGACCCCTGCTACGGCATCTGCACCCACTGCAAGAGACGGGTGAGCCGCGGCAAGAACTCCAAACATTTTTCAACCTCTGGGCTGCTGAAACATCTGCAGAGGCATCACGGCAACATTGTTCTGGCTGCCATCGCCACGACGCAAGCCATGTTGCCGACTAGCAGCAAGCCGAACGGACCTGTTCTGATGCCAAGTGCTTTGCCCCAGTGCTGGACGAAGCAGAAGTCGCCCGGGAAAAGGCAGCCGGGTCCAAAGCCATCGGAAGTGACCCGTGCTATCGCCCAGATGATGGCTCTGGATGACCAGCCCTTCAGCCTGGTGGAAGAGGCAGGTTTCCAGCACCTCCTGAAGTTGCTTGCCCCCAACTATAAAATCCCATCCTGTACCACCTTCAGCAGACAGATTGTGCCCTCCCTGCATCAGGCCTGCAGGGAGGAGGCCTTGGGGATGCTTCAAACCCCAGGACCTCCTGCCAGCGTGAACATGAACTCCGATGAATGAATGGGAGCCTGTTTTCTTCCTTCCTTTGATCTTCCGTTGCTCCCTGTGAGCACCTGTAGGGGGCCATTGCTGGTCGGTGGTAGCGTAACCCATTTTAATTCACCGATTAAATCCATCCTTCCCAGAAAACCGAAATAATTGACATGCCTGTCAGCAAAACTTAGAAAGGCAATGAAAACACAATGTGAAATAAACCCTACAAAAAAAGGTTAAACCCTTGGAAATGAATCAGTTACAGTGCCAGATATGAAGGCCTGTTGATCAACTGGTGGCAAGCACAGTAGAAGCGTGCCAAATCCTAACCACCCCCCGGGTGCCCATATTCTGGGCAAACAGAGATTAAAAAAAAATCCCATCTGCTACTCCAATGGACAGACCAAGAGTCTTCTACTCAATTGAGGTAAAAGCTCCCATCTGTTTTTAAGAAGCTTCCTTAACGGCAGAGTTCAAAAGCGTAAAGAAAAATGGAGAATATTGGGGAAATAGTGAGTGCCGAACTTAACACCTGAGACAGACATCTCCAATTTCTCAGACATGTTCTGAGATGCCTTTCTGATATATCTTTAGTCAGAAACAATTGTCCAAATTAAATTACTCATCAGACTGAAATGTCAAATCATTTATTTGATTTCCATTCTCCTTAATTGTCTTCTCTCATTGAGATTTCCAGACAGTATTCAGGTGTCATAAATGTAGCCATCACATTTTGTTGTCTTTAAGGTAACTTCATCCGTTTCTCCTATGTTTGGCTTTCAAGCTTTACCCAAAACTTGGGAAGGTCTAAGAGTTAAAATGGAACATGAAAATAATTCTGAAGCATAATGTTTTACTAAAAACAAAATAACCCTTAAGGTTGGGTAAATGGATTGACTGTAGCAAAGTAAACATCTTTTTAAGTGTTACAAACATTTTAAAATTGAAAGTTTATGTTTCTCATTAAAGGAACGTTCCAAAGTGTTAACCTTCAAAAAAATTAAGTGAAGAAAGTCAAAAACTTGTTTGAAGCTTAGTAGATTTAATCTAAAACAATTGGAAATCTTTTCCAAACTTTCTTTCATTATCCGTTTTACTAGAAAAAATATTCTTAGAATTTCTGCATTGTCTCATACACGAACCAGCTAATTTTCACACCTTTTAATTAAGTTACTTATTTTAATCTTTCTGTACAATACTTATGATTTAAGCTTTAGGAAGTCCTTAATCTCTCTACATTTCAGTTTTTAGCATGGATTCTATTTTAACTCTTCATCTTTGAGGTGGAAAAAGAGAAATTCATTGTGAATCTTTAATGTAAAAGTTCTGGCTCTAATAGGCTTTGTTCCTCTTATATTAAATATATATATGTTAGAGATTTATAATATAAAATAGAACTTGTAACTGTTCGATTTCATGATTTGCAGATTTGCCAACCTGTTCAGAAAACAATACAAACGTATGAAATATATAAACATGTCCGTATTAACAGTACAACTAAGCAATATACCCAAGTCCTTACACTTGCATAAAAAGAATTATAATTTAATGCTTTAAGTTAAAATAAGGGGGGGTGGGGGGAACACAATTTAACATGCACTATGATTTTATGAGTAAAAATATAAAGAAGAAATTGGGAACCTGTAATGGGTTAGGTTTCGTTGAGAAGTGTCAGTGAAACAATATCACATGGGAATTTTTTTTGGATATTTTTAAGAGGATTGCTGTAAATCTTTGTTTCTGAAACTTACCAATTTGAAGATGTGTGTACTTCAATCCCAGAATTCCTCAGCCAGCAGTGCTGTCTGGGGAATTCTGGGAGATGAAGTCCTTACATCTTAAAGTTGCCTGAGAAACAGTGGTGTAAACGTTATGTTGTGATAGCTTTACTACTATTATAATAATAGTACAACAGCTTTATACTTTCTCCCAAGAACTATCCTCCATGTTGCTCAGAGTTCCCTACGAAGCCAGTGCAGGAATGCGTCAAGCTCTCCTTCTGAAATTTTGCTTGGAAAGCTGGTGGACTATGTACCGGTGAATCTCATATATCTGTATTAAATAAAGTGATATGGTACTATGTACTGGAGTAAAAGGCCGTTGGTTTCAGCCCTTCGTTTGTTAATTCATGCTGTGTGTGGGATTCTCCCAAATCTGTTCTCACTGGCGAGATTCCTCATGGATTCCCAATGCTTTGCAGTCACCACGCTTCCAGCTGCTTCCAATGTGCCAGAGCCCTCCATTAAGAATAATAATAATAATAATAATACAAATAATGCTGCCGTTCATTGAAGTTTCTGATCTATTTTCCCTAAGGTGAGAAAAATCACTCCTTGGTTCTCAGTTTGCTGTGTGTTCGGGGGCCCATTGTATAAGCAAGTGTGAACTCTTTTTCACACCTTTCCAGAAGATGAAACAAATGTGCAATGAAGCCACCCAGAGTCACCTTGTAAGGGGGATGAGCGGCATAAGAAATCCATAAATTATTTAAAAATGAAGGCATTTTCATGATGAAATGTCAACTCAGCCCCCTGTCACAATGTGTAAGCTGTCAGAATTCCTGTACAGGTAATTTTCAACTTACAACCACAGTTTCCTTTGCTAAAAAAAAAAGTGGTTCAGTGATTTTATTCCCTTTTTTGCTCTCAGCTGCCTGAGGAATTGCCAAGGTTGAAGAGCCCTGGTCTAGGTGATGCTTAGATAACAGGAAAAAGCAACACGAAACATTATTTGGGTGGCCAATCTAATTTCTTCGCTAGCCTTCTGTAATATGGATTCTTGCTTGAGCTCTGTGTGGAACCAAATACCGCCCGATACTTGTCCTCAAGATTCAGACCCAACTTTCGGCAAACAGATCCTCCCACCAGAGATTTGCCTCTGTTGCCTCGCCAAGTTCTTGCAACACCCATTTTATGAACCGAGCAGCACAAAACGTTCTGATCTCTTGACTCTCCCAGTTTTTCAACCGGGATTGGCTATTTTCATATTCGCCCTTTTGATCAGTGTTTTCAGATTATGGAAAATCATCCTTATTCTGCTTGGCTGAGATGCTGTCCAGCTCCTTCAACAGGCTGTTTTTCCACTCTGGGTTTCAGCTCTGAAGAAAGATTTAGATAAGAACGTTTTCTGCTACTCCGTGCACAAAATGGGGGTTGCAATCACTCTAGGCACCCATTTCACAACTTCGGAGCTTAAAGAAGTGTGGACTTTAATTCCCAGAATTCCCTAGCCAGCATGGATGTTTGAAGACTGGGAATTCTGGGAGTTGAAGTCCACGCATCCCCAAGGTGGCAGGGTTGAGAAAGTCTAATTTAGACAGACTGGAACAATTCAGAGACTGGTAACAGATTTTTGAAGAAATGGAAACCAATTCCCATCAGGACTCAGAACGGTGAGATGGCTTATATATTACAGGTTGGGTTTTCAGGTGAGTGTGAAAAATGTCAGTCACTTTTCCATGCCGTTGTAACTTTGAAACTAAGCAAACTTATGAGTCAAGGACTACCTGTGCAATTCCAGACAAGTGGCTATAAGTGATGGAGCAGCCACAGCTTCTGGAGGCAAGTCGTTCCACTGGTTAACTCTTCTTATTGTCTGGAGATTTCTCCTAATATTTTGATTGGATCTCCCCTTGATTAGTTTCCATCCGTTGCTTCTTGTCCTGCCTTCAGGAGCTTTGGAGAATGGCTCTTCCCCCTCTTCTTTGTGGCAACCTGTCATGCCCCTGTTGGAATCTGATTCCGAGGGGAAGGTCGAGCAGCTGACAGGGAATGGGAGTGTGGCTCCGGTGGCTGTGGAGGAAACTGGGGAAGGGCACAGTCCGGCTGGGCATTCAGAGGAAGAACCAGGCCCACCTCCCCTTCATCCTAGGGCATGCAGGGAGGAACAGAGAAGGGAGCAACGTGAGTTACGGGGGAGAAAAGGGTCCTGATTACCTTCATTAGCTGCAGCTGGGAAAACAGGATAAAGAGGGTGATTGCGCACAGAACCTTGCTGGAAGCAAAGCGTGCATTATCTTTGTCAAGTCTTATCTGGGTTCTGGCACTCTGTGTTTCGTTATCTTTTGAAGTCTGCAATTCCTTACCCTGCCCTGTCTCGTTAATTGCTGCAGCGTGGTTTGTGTTGGTTTTCATTTATAATCTATATTTACTTTGGGTTCTGATTGAATTTCTTCCCTTTAAAAACGGTTCTTGGGAGTGTTTTTTCTCCAGCCAATGATAACTGAACATTGGGGGGCCAAGCTGGAGGTGTTAAAGGGACTTTACTTACTTTTGTGACCTTGTTGCTTTTGTGCCACGCCCGGGTCATCATCACACAACCCCTCAAATATTGGAACAGTGCTAATCATGTCACCCCTAGTCCTTTTTTAAAAAAAATTAGACTAGACATACCCAATTCCTGCAACCATTCTTTATATCTAAAGGACACAAGGTTACAGAGTTGGAAGAGATTCTGTAGGTCATCTAGTCCAACCCCACTCCCAGCAAAATGGCAGTCCAGTCTCTTCTTGAAAGTCTCAAATGAGGAAGCTCTCACAACTTCTGAAGGCAAAACTGTTCCATTGGTTGATATTTCTCATTGTCAAAAAGTGTTTTAACAGATAATCAGAGTTGGAAGGGAACTTGTAAGTCATCTAGTCCAACCCCCTGCCCAAGCAGGAGACCCTACACCATTTCTGACAGATGGGAGTCCAATCTCTTCTTGAAAATCTCAAGTGATGAAACTCCCACAACTTCTGAGGGCAAAGCTGTTCCATTGATGGATTGTTCTCACTGTCAGAAAATTTCTTCTTATAACTAAGTTGAATCTCTCCTTGATCAGTTTCCATCCATTATTCCTTGTCTGGCCTACAGGCGCTTTGGAAAATAGCTTGACCCTTTCTTCTTTGTGGCAGCCCCTCAAATATTGGAAGGCTGCTATCCTGTCTACCCTGGTCCTTCTCTTCCCTAGACTAGCCAAGTCCAGTTCCTGCAGCCGTCCTTCATATGTTTTAGCCTCCAGTCCCCTAATCATCCTGGTTGCTCTTCTCTGCACTTTTTCCTAGAGTCTCAACATCAGAGGTGATATTCAGCAGGTTCTGATCAGTTCTGGAGAAC